ATAATATTACTAGGAAAAAAAAGGTAGAAAAAGAATAGCAGGGAAAAACGAAGAAAGCTAAAATTTCCCTTTTTTTAAGAATAGTAATAATAATAATAACAATAATAATAATAATAATAATAATAATAATAATAACAATAATAATAATAATAATAATAATAATAATAATAATGATAATAATAGTAATAATAATGATAATAACAGACATTTATGAAGACTAATGACAAATGCAGCAAACATCCTTCACAACCAATTACATATGACACAACTTTCAGGATAATCGGTCCCGAAATTCAAGAATGAGATTTAAAGCATTAAAGCATCAATGGAATATTACTGGAAATGAATTTAATTGATATCAATAAGATTATAAATGAAAAAAAAAGGGAAAAAGAGGAATTCGTTTGGAGAAAGCGGAAAAGTATTTCTAAAATATATAATTTCATCTAAAATTTCAATCGCATTTTTGTTCTAAACTGTTAAAAATTTATAAAAACGCATTCAACCAATTTTTTGTAAAGTTTTTGAATTTTATAATTCTAACTGCTTCCACTAACTGTTCTTTTTTCCGTCGTTTTTCCATTGATTAAATTACCAGGATTTCGGAAGAAATTAACTTACAATCGAATTAAGCAGAAACATAGAAACGCTAAGAATATGATAGCCGGTGAGAACCAGATAGCTATCGCGCCACATCTGAAATTGTTGAATTGGTACTTCTGATATTGATACGTTTTTTTTTAGCACGTTTATAAATTTTCTCCGTTTTAATAAAATTGAGTAATTATCAGTTATTTGAATTACTTACGTCTGATTTGCAGGACATTTCTTTTCGCAGATTTCTCCATAAAATGGATCCTTACATTTGCAACTGCAAGCAGAAACAATCAATCCCATTTGTTTATTATTTGCTTAATAGAAAAATTCTCGAAAAGAAAAATATCTGGAAGATTTCCGAAGTTTTATAAACATTTTTCCAGTAAACTTATCACATTCGAGGTGGATTTATAAATCATAAGTAAATAAAAAATTAAAATTGATTTTTAGTAGTTAAGTTTGGCATATTACATATCTCTCTTCAACATTTTCCCAGGTGACATTATTCCTCTCCCTAAAAGGATATTTGCAAATGATACGAATTTCGCATGAGATGCTAAAATGGCACTTGAACAAAAGTAATAAAAGGATGAAGTGCAACTGAAATGTACTGCAATTCGTCATTCAATTGTAATAAATAGATGAGGAATCCGATCCGGAATGCTTTGAAATGCATCTAGAGGGAGAAAATTTGAATACTGCAGTTTGTTGTCAAATAATTAGAAAAAAAATAAAAAAGGGGGAAAAAAAATGAAGAAAGCTATAAATCACAAGAACCTTCCATCGACAACTTCACCATCATTTCTACATTTGATAATCTTATCACAATTGTCGCCTTCATATTCATCGGCACAACGACATCTGTCACCCGCATTGCGCCATCTCCTTTCATGTTCTTTAATCATATAGAATGAATAACAGCTTCATCGTTAATTAAGTCATAATTAGCAAACAATAATCATAAATAGAAAAACGAAAAGAACATTAACTGGCCGACGTCATTTCCTCTTTCTCTTTCTCTCTCTCTTTTTGATAAATGCTTTCACTAGAAAATAAAACTTTTTACCTGATAATTAGTTGGTAAATTCAATGAAATGATAAATAATCAGGTCAAATGTCATAGTGTACCTTTCGAAGCCATTCGCCAACACGCAAGTCGTTCACAGTTTCGGCCATCCCATGGAGCCCGACAAATGCATTCGATCTGTTTAGAACCAATAGCGATCGTTCCATTATGTTGGCATGAATTTGGTGTACATCTAAAAATTGTTTCTGCTTTTCTTTTTTAAAGCTTTCTCGGTCTAAAGTTGACAATAGCACGAATAGTGTCTCTAATAATCACGTAAAATGTTAAGATCATCAAACTTTACATCACTGTTAAGGTGACATCTTTTCAATCATTTCATTAATTGTTAGCTGTTTGCTTAAAATTATCACAATAAAGACAGACTGAGGAATCAAAGTACAACGAATCTTTTTAAAAGATGTGTTGAAAATATTTCAATATGAATGAAAACTAAATTTCACTAACTTTATTGAGGCTCTTGTAAATTAAATTTTATTCCATATATATGAAAACAATTTTGAGCAGGAAATTTTTTTTAATTTGAATAAATATATGAAAAAGAAATCAACCAAAAAACTTACAAAACCAGTTCGAAATTTTAATTAACTGATAAATTAATTCTTTATCAAATTCAAAAGTTTGCTTACGTTATCGTATAACTGAGAATAAGATGATTTAAAGGAATGTCAAAATTAGCAACCTGAAAAGAAAATAAAACTTACACACTATTGTATAGGGAGAAGCCAGTGGGACATCCATAGTATTCGTTACAAATTGGTCCCTTCCATCCAGGCTTGCATTCACATTTGTTATTTTTCATTCTTCCATGCACTAAATATGAAATTTTGTTGTTGCAATAATTATTGTATTTTTAAAATTTAAAATTCCCAATATGAATCATTTCGTAATATTATGTAAAAATTGATAAACCAAGTTAAAATTACCCTCCAAGTATGCAGCGTTTTAAATCAATTTATTGTCAAAAACTTATCTACACATTTCAATTCTGCAATAATATCAGGGGAAAAAAAAAATCACCTCTTAAAGTACGACATTTGATTTCCTCATATTCGGAACTGAATTCTTCACCTCCAGCTTTAGCTTCAGAATATTTATCACATTTCTCCAAGCTTCCATCTACGATTCCATAACCGTAGTAGGAATCAAAACTACAACCTTCTGGTATCAAATTAAGTGGAATCAAATCAACGTATGCATCATCTTTATCCTTATGTCGTTGTTGGCATACGATAACTGGCGTTATTAAAACATACGTTAATAGGTGTGTTGCTCCAAATTTCATCACTGAAATTTCAAAAAATAAAAATGAAATTTGTTTGTAAATATTTAGCAAGGAAAAAGATAAAAAAGAAAAGAAAAAGAAAAACAAAGAAGTGCGAGATTGTATAATGCATAGTTTATCATAAATAAAACAAAAAATAAATTTTATTATGAATAATAGCTCTCATCAATCGAACTACCGCTATTGCATTTGGAAATATGTTGCAAAAAATTTGTCATCTCAATACAAATGGCATATACCCATTTGTCGCTTATGAAAATTTTACTATCATTTGTATTATCATTTAATAGATAAAAAAAATATTATTACTTTTCCTTTACCTTTCTCCTCTCTCTCTCTCGATGATAATGATGATGATGATAATAATAATGACAATGATAATGATGAATTTTTACGCATAGAAAAACATGAACGGATGTCAGAAAAAAGAAAAAAAATAAAACGGACAAATTTTATTTAAGAAAAAAAAGAAAAAAAGAAGGGCAATCGAATAAAGATTGTAAGCGTTACAGATAAGCTTTTGAAGTAGCAATTCTTCATAATTCTCATAATAGCAACATTAAAGAAAGCAGCGAACGATGTATGAATAAGAATAAATCAAAAAGAGGAAGAAATTTGTCTCGGGAAGGAATTATCTCGAGAGAAAAGGAAATGGATCAGAAGACTGAGAAACAGGACTGTAAGGATAATTTAAAACTATGATAGTTTATATAGATTTAATCTGATCAACAATTACAATAATTTAGCTTTCCTTTTTTTTTCACTTACAAGTTAGATCGCATTAAATGAAATGGTCCTAATATTACAAATGAAAAAAAAAAGAAAAATGCTTGTGGCAAAATTAAAAAAAAAAAAATCATTTAATAATACTGGTTACGATTAAATTGAAATTATTATTCGATAAAATTAGTATCACAAATGATTAATGCCTAAATGGCATTATTTTTACATTGAACCATTTACGGGAATATTATAAACAAACTTGTAGATGAGAAAGATAAAGAAAATCGGAAAAATGATAAATGTTAAAAGCAATTATCTTTTATTTCATTACCTTTTTTTTCTTCATTTTTATTTCCGCTTTAAATTATGAATTAAGACTAGTGACTTTGACGAATTTCGCAAGAGGATCAAGTTACTTTCGCTTTTTCCATTTATCTTCAGTAATTTCAATGTCCGTACTGGAGTAACGCTCAAAAATTGTTTTTCAATTTGCATTTCCAATATGATTCACTTTCAATGAATAAAGTTCATTTTTTTTTACTACCAAGATAACAATCAATTTATTTCCAGAAATATTTCAAATATGAATTGCTAGGAACACGTTTACATGGCTGAAATGAATTAATGAAATACTCAATTTTACTAATGAGTACTTTGCTTCTTTAAATCCTTCAACAGTATTATCTTCTTAACTTATTTAACGTTTGAGAAAGGAGTAGGACTTTCAATTTTCGAGAATTTCTTTGGTATCTGCATTGTTCAAAGGACGGGTTGTCATGGAGATTGGACATTTATATTACTCGATAGACGGGTTACCATGGAGACTGTTCCTGACAAATCCACAAATGACTACCTACAAGGCAAAATGTTGTACAGAGCATCTATTTTTGATCTTCAACCTTCTTCTCCTCACCACCAATTTAGTCGAAAAGTTCGAAAATCTTGCATGAAAACTTATATGTGAACTTGTCATCCTGACCGGACTTATCATCTTGACCAGATTTTTAATTTTTCTGTGGTAATGTTGGGCTCACGGATTCATGTTTTTTTTTTATGGCAGTTTTCGATAATAAACATGTGAACGGAAAAAAGTTTGTTTGCAATGTACAATGTAGGTTAAGAAGGAATTTCAGGATTAAACTGTATTCGATTTATTCAGAATCCGAATGAATCGAATACACAAAGTATGCTTAATTTTTCATCGTAATCTTTGATAATTTTAGTTCCAGTCATTGTTTCAAATTAAGGGATAAGAGAGTATAATCATGCAGCTTGCACAAAAACTGCAAAATGCAACCTTTAAAGTTGAACATACCTTATAACCTGATCCCTTTTTTTTGATTAAAATGCTCAAAAAACGACGGTCTAAAAAGCTTACTATCAGTTATTAATTCTGCGCTAACGATTCACGTAAATATTAGGTAAGTTTCAGATTGTTTAATAGTGCCTAAACTATCACGACAAGTATATATTGTTGTGAGAATAATAACATCTATGTCTTCCTCTTCATAGTTCACATATGATTTATTAAACCCTGACCCTAAAATGTTGACAAATGTCAGAATAATATTAATTCCTAATCAATACTTATGTCACAAGCATCACCACATAATCGTGTCATAATTTCAGTAATATTTTAAGTTAAAATATTACTCCAATATATGAAAACATCAATTCCAGTAATGTGGAATAGTTCGTTGGAATTGCGCAATGATCTTTGTTCAAACACAACTAACACTATTGCTAATATACTCTATTGTACTATTTCTAGCTCAAAAAATAATTTCCAAATTAGATAGGTCAAATAATATTGTATAAATTTAATTTATTAAAAGAAAGGAGAGAGAGAGGAGAAAAAAAGAGTAAAGGATGAATAAATAAGCTAAAAGGAAGAATAAGAATAAACAAAATTACACCAAATTGATGTTTGGTCAATGTTGAATTTGTGTACACATATACGAATTGACATTTGGTGGATTTGAAAAATAATGCTTAGCAAAAGAAAATCAATGCTGAAATAGTTAGTATTCAATGAAGAAGAGCTGTGAAAGAATTGAAAATGAAATTGAAAAGAAACAAAAACTAAAATCATCATCATCCCACCAATAACATATATCCTTGAATGTGTGTCATAACAAACTTTTACTTTTCATTTTACTTTTCAAAATGAAACAAAACATTGCATTTGTAAGCAGAGAAGTGGTAAAATAAATTCTGATGATTTAATAAAGTTTAAAAATAGCACCGGAAGACGAATTCCCTCTTTTTTCTTTTTTTTTTTCTTTTACACTACCAATATTTTGCTACTAAAAATATCACATTGTGAAGCGGAAAATAATATCATCTAGACTATTCATATAATATAATAGTTTGTAAAGTGAAATAAAAATATTGATTGGAAAGATAAATAATCATTCATTCATTCATAAAAACTTCCTCTTATTTTTCCATCCTTTTTGTTATTCCATTCATCTTTTGCACTCATTATTTATGATATGATTTATTTGCATCCAAGTAATGAAATATGATCTAGTAGTTTAAACTTTCATATATCTTTTTAAATAAGATGTAATGTTGTTTGAAACTATTACGACAGATCGATAAGTTATCAACGATTATTGATTGATCAACAGAAGAATAATATCAACAAATTAATTGCGAAAAATAACTTTCGGCAGTTATCAATAAAAAAAAAAAAAAAGAATGGAATACAAAGATCATCGGTAAAAATGTTTTGCTTACTGCACTTTGATATTTTTGCTTACTGCACTTTGAATACTTTTGAAAAGACGCCAATAGCAAAAATATCAACAATAAACAAATTTTTTCTCATCTTTGTCTCCATTCCTTTCCTTTCCTTCCCGAGTTTCCTTCTTTTTCTTTCCTGAAGTTCAATTTAGCAACCTTATACACTCTTCCGGTATTTCGATCTCTTCTTTACGTTCCAGGAATTTCACAATTTGTTCTTTTCCACATTTGCCTCATCTTCTTTCATCTCAGCTTATCCATTTCTATCGTAGACAACTTAATCCATCCCCTTCTCACTTCTTTTGAATGTCAAAGATGTTGACAAATCCCTTGAGGTATTCATATTTTGTTTATTCGTCCATTCAAGATTGAGGGATTGTCTTCAGTCAGTGAAGAAAGGGAAGAATAGCATGTTGTAATTCCTATATTTTCTGAATTTTTCCACCAGTAAATTACATCATTTTGTGAATGTAACAAATAGTGACAACAAACATTTCAATGGGAAAAGGAAGTGGACTAGGGGAAGTAATCAGGTCCCATCAAGTTCTTTGGCGTTCTCGGGAAGAATTCGTGAATTTTCCGATGACCGAACCAATACTATCTTGAATCAAGCTTACTCTCAATAACTTGAGAAATGTTTGAATTTTATACCAAATTTCCTGCAAACTATTACGGCAATCTTTTCCGCATACATATCTGTGAATCATTTTTTTTTTTTCAAATTTGATAGGAAAAAATGAGAGAAAGTGCATGAAATCAATTATTCAAAAATATATAACAAAGATAAAGACGCATAACGTAACATTTTGTCAAAAATGTCATCGTTAAAAATGCGCAATCAAACTGAAAATATCTAAACGATAGAAAGAAGAAAATTAGGTAAAATGCAAACCATTGGATTAAATCATTAAACATTACTGATTATTTAAACAATAAAATAAAATGGCAAATGTATCGAATGAATGACGTAAGTAATGATCTTGCTAGAAGCATCTGATTTAATTCCGCTGAGAGTTTGACCTAATTTTGATTGATGATAATAGTAGCTATTACACTCTATCACAGACAAGTCCTTATCATAGTGCTTAGTAAGGATGAAATTAGATAGACCTATGCAAGCCTCTTATCTTAGGCCATGTATTGAACAAAAATCTCTTTCTAAGGGAGTAGGATTCAATTTCAATCACAAACCATCATCCACACTATTTCGTTATTTTGAATACAACGAATTACAAGATGTTAAAAATGATTTGAAATGAAGAGAAATTTAACAATAATATTGGGATAAGAGTGATGGATGTATGAGCTATTTCAATTCTTTCCATATATTTCATAACTTCAGTAAACATCAGCTATTTTCAACAACTACGGAAATATTCGCAAAGTGCTTAGTTATTAAAAAATCTTTGATATTGCAAATGATATGTGCATATATTAATACTAATATTAGGAATGATAATTATGAAATATTAATAGTTGTTCCGGGAAGGTGGAAAAATATCGAGAAAAAAAGTATATATACATTCCTATCCTCAAATTT